AAAAAAATAAAAAGAAGGGAACTAGGAGTCAGTAGCATTAACCACCCACCTCAACGCCTTTTTGCCGTGTTGCTGCCGAAGCAGACGTCAGAAAGTAGCATGCAGGTACTTAAAGATACAGACTTAGCCTTTGCCGAATTGGAAAATAAAGGTGTGCCATGAAATGATGGCCCCTTAGAAGCAACACACACCTAAAGGATGCTTTGAAGAATTTTTCTGATTTCTTGCAATCCCAAGGTTCACCACGTATGCATTGTCACTTTTGGGTGCTCATAATCTCAGAGCTGACTCTGTCCCTGGGCACAGGGAGGCCACCTCCAGGTGCTGGAGTGTGTCCCTGCTGTCTCGGCCGCTCCTCTGCGCTCTATTTTAGCTGCGCCCCTTTACATGGGTCCAATGTCACAAATCCATTCCTGGGCCTGGGTGGGGCCTGCTCTATAAATAAATTCCAAACTGAGGAGTCCTGGCCACAGCACATAGCCCCTGACAGATGCCATCAGCCTCCGCCCGAGCCGAGGGCAGATTCCTGCCTGGCTGCCATCCCTTCCCCTCGGGGGAGACTTGTGGGCTACCCTGGGGCTCCCAGCTCTCCCCACTCTGGGGCAGCACCTAGGACCAGCGGCCATCAAGTCTGGGGCCACTGAATGGGTGCCAGGCACTCTAAGCACTCTTGTTACGGCTTCTCATTGTCCCCCCAACCCTCTGCGGCAGAAACTGTTACTGCCCTACTTTGCAGATGGATAAACTGAGGCTCCAAGAAGTTAAGTGGTTTGCTAGCGGTTCATGCCCAGTAAGTGGAGAAGGGGGGATATGAACCCCAGCATTCTCACTTCCGCATCTACCTGACTGACCACTGTCCATGGGGCTGCCCATCCCCCACAGCCTTCTCCAGAAGGGCCAAAGGGCAGGGTTGAGCATTGCTGGCCCTTCCACAGGTGGCCACACTCCTGGGTAGTCCCCTCCCCCGAGCCCCCCCCCCAGGCCCACTTTCAGCGCACCCCAGGCAGCCCCTGACTGCAGCCTCTGGTGCCCAACTTTTAGTCTGATGTTTAAAATTACATAACAAGCCATAAATTCACATGTTGCAAAATTTTAAACATTCTGTCCTTCCAGTCTCAATGCAATGCTTTTTCTCTTTTCTTTATCTTTCACTGAATAAATCAGAAGATGGGTGGCTCACCTCTCAGTAAGCACCAAAGAGGCCTTGCGTTTTGTTTCCCTTTACTCGGTTCCTCCAAAGCTAATTATTAAGGCTCAACAAACAAAGGCAATGATGGCAACCAGAAACCCAAACGACAAAAACCAAAACATTGAGCTAATGAGCCCAACAGTTCCCGACTGTCCGGTTAGTGGGTAGGCAGACTGCAGCACATTTGGAAACAAATGACCCCTGGTCAGAAGTTAGGGATGCCTTCTGGATCTTTGAGTGTGGACCCTGGACCGAACCCAAATTTTACAGAACAAATCCGTTTAGCAATAAATAAATAATAAAGGGATTTGTTCTGTGACATTTGGATTCTGCAGAGGGGCTGCAATTGGGGTTCTGGAGGGCCACATGTGGCCTTGCGGCTGCAGGTTCCCCACCCCTGTTGCTGGTGGAGGGTGGCCTACCTGTCACCCATCTGTCTATGGACACATGTGCACACTATTGTGCTTAGCCCTTAATGACCAGACAAAAATACAAGCTGAGTAAGAAGGTAATAATAGCTCTCCCAGTCCAAACATCGTAAAGGAAGCGGCTGTATGGTGGGGAGGGCCAGGAGAGGGGTGGGGAGAGTTGTCCCAGGGCCGCAGGGCCTGATGCACCTCCTCCATCCTCTACCTGGAACAGACTGGGAGGCAGGCCGCGCACCCCACAAACTCAGAGCCACAGGGATTGCCCCTCTGGAAACCGTTGCAGCCTGCGCAGTAACCGGCTCCTTGGGTCCGGCTTAGCGGTCAAGGCCCCTGCTCGGCTGGTTCTCCCCGTCCATGACCTGATCTCCCTCAGCCTTGCAAGGAGGCAGGGGATTCGGAGGGGCCTTCCGGGTGCGCAGGGAGTGGGCGCGGGCGGGGCGGAGCTTATGGGCTCCTTTCACCTGTACCAGCACCCCGCGACCTGGCCTCTTCCCGTCGTCTTCCAAACTCCCCTCGGAAGCTGGGGTGCAGAGCGGTTAGCAGGAGGAAGGCCCTCCCCGGAACCCCCGCGGGGCTGCTCTTGGCACCAAGGGCTGCGCGCACTGACGGCAGGACCCGGAATCCTCACGGGCCTCGGCTCCAGCCGCTCCCTGCCCCCCCGCGCCAGGTCCCAGGGGCCGATAGAGCTCTGAGAGAGCCCGGGTGCCCCTCTTCCTCAGCTCCTGCCCAATCTGCGCCCCACCCCCGCTGAACTCCCAGCTTCGGAGCCGCAAACCCGGACGTCAGCCACCCTGAGCTCTGGCCCCCCGAAAACCTAGCCGCACCGCGCCCCAGGCCCCTCGCGTCGTTCATGCGCTGCCTACCTGGTTCCATCGCAGCCCAGAGCTTCTGTGTCGGCCTGAGCCCACCTGGCGCTGGCCCCGGTTCACCGCGGACCCCCTTCGTGGGCGCACGGCGGGAGCTGGCGGCGCGGGCCCAGAGGCGGTGCAGACGGGCGGCCGCGGGCGGGCGGCCCCGAGGCGGGTTATATGGGCGCGGGGATGGGAGGCGCCGGGGGAGGGGGCGGCTGCGGGCGTTAGCGCCTTTACAGCCGGGCGGGCGGGAAGGCAGCGCGGGCCGCTCTGCAGCGGCTGGAGGAAGGCGGGAGGAGGGCGGGCGGCGGGGCCGGGCCCGGGCCAAGGTCTCCTCCGCGCTCCGCCCCCCCAGCTGGCCGCGTCCGAGTCGGGGTCCTGGGAGCGCCCGCCCCGCCTCCTTCCCGCCACGGTTTGGCGCGCGTCGCCTGAGCCGGGACGCGGCCAGGTCGCCAACGCAGGGCTGGACGCGGGCGGGGCGCCTGGGCCCTACAGGACCGCGACAGTCCGCAGGTTGGGGGCCCTGGCCAGGGCGCGCAGCAACCGAGAGCCAGGCACTACTGCGGACTCCGCGCCCCGACGCCTTCGTTTCCCCGCTCTCTCCTCTCACCAGACGCCCCGTCTCCCCGACCCCGGGCTCCCCCGGCTACCCCTACTGGCGCGGAGCCTCTCCATGGAGGGCGCTCGCTTGTGATCCAAGGCGCAGCGGGAGTGCGGCGCCTTGCGCCCTAGCTGTGGCCGGCGGGAAAGGGGTGAGAGATGCGGCCTCAGGGCCAGGAGGAAGAGGACCGCTGGTGGCCGCCCAGCAAGGCTTGCCACCCACTCCGCCCGCGGCCGACGCCCGGCCCCGCCGGGCAGGGAGGATCCTGCGGAGACCCTCCTGGTGCTACTCTTCGGACCCCAGCCGGAGGTTGTGCCCTGGGGCCTTCAGGGAGTAACTCGGGCACTCGACCACTCCCGGCCTCGCCCCGCGCCCCGCTCCCTCCTCCGCCCGTAGGATTCCGTTCGGTGTTAGCGAAGGTGCGCGCGGTGTCCAAGCGCTGGGAATTGCTGTTTGAGCGCAGGAATACTCTCGGGCCCGCTGCACCTGCAGCCCCGCGCTCCTCTCCTCCGCATGGCAGCCGGGCCTCGGGGGCCCTCATGCCCGAACGCAGGGCGAGTGCGAGCAGCTCTGGGCTGCGGGCACCTACCGTGCGCTGCCGCCTGATGCTTGTGGGACCCGTTATCTGGCTCCAAACCGATGCCCCCTGCCTGGGTAGACACCCAAGCCTTGGAAGATGGCGTCAGTGTCGTCCGTGGCATCGGGAGCGAGCCGAGCGAGTGCAGCCCAGGTTCTCTGGCCCAACGAGGTCTGCACCTGCCCTGGCGCGCCTGGCAGACTTATGTATGTCTTTATTGCTCACCTACTGTTTGCTAGGCGCGGGAGTGGGGACACTAAAACGAATCTCACGCAGGATTAGGGTCTAACTGGGGACAGAAACAGCCGGCTCCGCCCGAGCAGGATGCCTGCACGCACCCCCATCCGTTCGTTGGGGAGGTTGGGGACGTCCGGGGGAAGCAGGTCCGGCCGGGGCTGGGCACTGGGAGGTGGGAGCAGGACCCAGGCCGGGTCTCAGCTCTCAGGACGCAGGGCTGGGCGGGGGTGCCGGGGTCTGCTAGGTCCTGTGGGCTGTGGAGGCGCTGGCGGAGCCTGGCGGGGGGCGGCTAAGGGCCAGCGTGGGCGAGGGCGTGCAGGAGGCTGCCATCGGGGAACAGGGGGCGACAGGACAAGGCACGCCCTGGAGAGCGAGCGAGGGCTGCGGAGCGGAGCGCCTGCGCAGGGGCTCGCTCCCACCCGTGCAGAGCTGGGCCCTCGGGTCCCTGCCCGGCGCGGCCCTGGGCGCGGGCGCAGGCCCCGGTGCGCGCTTGGAAGGGACAGGCGAGTGCGCGCCCTCCCCGCGTTAACGCTGCCCGGTCAGCGTCTAATTCGTTCTCTCCTGATCTAAGTGGCGCTGGAGCAAGACGTGAGGGTCGGGCGGCGGGCAGGGCTGCCGGACTTGGCAAAAACAAACAAACAAAACAAATATTTCTTTATACATTATGTGTACAGTGTAACATACGTAATAGACACTATACTATACATTAAATATGCATTTGTATATGTACGAGTATAAATTCACCATAGCATTAAATACATGTGCATATAAATAAATGTGTACGTACACACACACAGGTCGCCCAGCTAAATTCGAATTTCAGATAAGGGAGTAATTGTTCCCCATCAATGCGTCCCATACAATATTTGGGAACATACTTATACTGGAAAACGATTTGTTGCTTATCCGAAATTCAAATTTAACTGTGCGTGTTGTATTTTATTTGCAGCCCTAACTGTAAGGGACCCGGATGCCCTTCGTCCCTTGGGGACGGTCCTGAAATCCCGCGTCGGAAGAAAGGTGGCGTCCCCTTTAAAGCGCGCCGGCGCGGGCGGGAGAACTACAAGCCCCACAATGCCGCGCGACCTCCCGCGGCGCTGATAGGCTGCGGCTCGCTTCCGCTTCCGCTGACTTCCGGCCGCGGAGGCCGGCGGCGGCGGTTGCTGGCTGCTGCAGTGCAGAGCTGTTCCCGCGGCCTTTCGGGAGCCGGGGCGGCCATGAACTTCTCCGAGGTGTTCAAGCTCTCCGGCCTGCTCTGCAAGTTCTCCCCCGACGGCAAGTACCTGGTGAGCGGCGGCGGGGGCCCGGAGGCGGGCGCGCGATGGGGCGGCGGACCGGAATCGCGGGGAGTGGGGCGGCCGCGTCGCCCGGCGGTGCGAGCAGCGTGTGTGTGTGTGTGTGTGGGGGGGGATCTGGCAGGTGCGCGGTTCGAGCAGGTGCGAGCAGCGTGTGTGTGTGTGTGTGTGGGGGATCTGGCAGGTACGCGGTTCGAGCAGGTGCGAGCAGCATGTGTGTGTGTGGGGGGGGGATCTGGCAGGTGCGCGGTTCGAGCAGGTGCGGGAGGCAAGCAGGGGCGGAGCGCAGGTAGATCCCCCACACAGGTGCGGGACCCTGGCAGGTACGCGATTCGAGCAGGCGGGGATTCGAACAGGTGCGGGAGTCACACAGGGGCGGAGCGCAGATAGATCCCCCACACACATGCGGGACCCAGGTAGGAGCGGGGTTCCAGCAGGTTCTCGGGATCCCCGCAGGTGCGGATTCGAACAGGTGCGGGAGTCACGCAGGGGCGGAGCGCAGGCAGATTCCCCCACAGGGCAGGTGCAGGACCCCCGCGGGTGCGGGATTGGAGCAGGTGCTGGAGTCAGGCAGGGCGGGGCGCAGGCAGATCCCCCACACAGGTGCGGAACCTGGGCAGGCCTGTCCAGCGGTGTCCACCTGTCCAAAGGCAGGTATGGGAAGCAATTCCTGTGTA